TTTTTTTTTTTTTTTTTTTTTTTTTTTTTTTTTTTTTTTTTTTTTTTTTTTACAGAAATGCATAAAAGTAATGAATTTTCACATTTAATTATTAACCCTATAATTTATTTAATATTTATGATGATAAAATAAAATTATTCATTATATAGAAAAATTAAATTACACAATATTTTATTTCACTTGAATTTCTTTAGCAAATTGAAATTTATAATATATATTATGTAAATCCTATTGTTAATTTAATTATATAAAATAATATATTGATAATAAATATTTGATCGATATAAATAGTATGTAATTTAGTTTTAAAAAATTTTAATATAACGAACAAAAAATAAATGTTTGAAAAAGGAATTAAACAGTTTTACATTTTTATAGCCAATTTTTAATAAAAAATATTAATATCAAACGAAGAGCAAACAGCCCCCAGTGACAATTCTTACGTATAACATCAAAATGCCGTCTTGATAATATAAAATTGTATAAAAGCAAATATAAAAATACATACAAATTGTGATAGTTTATATTAGAACTAACACGAATATATCATTTTTACATGAGAATAATAATACATACATATAAGAATGTATGTGTAACGTTTCATTTAAAATGTATTTTTTATATTCGTACCTTTAAAAAGTAATTAATGATATTATATTAATAATAAATTTAATGAAAAGTTTAAAAAACTAATTGTTATATAATTTTAAGTAATTCGGTAAATTTAATTTATACATTGATCGTAATAGTAATTATTATTGTACAATATACAGTAATAAAAGCAAAATGTATTAGAATTCGGCTGAAATTATGATAATTACAAGAATTATATCGATAGTTTTTTTTTTATACATAGTTTTAAAAGTTCATTGTTATTTTAATTTGTAAAGTCGGAGAATTAAATAATGAATCGTTTATGTGATTTTTTTTTTTTTTTTTTTTTTTTTTTTTTTTTATAACGATAAAAATAATGATATAATTTTATGTAATTTATAATTATTTTTATGAAGATCGTCCGATTTAATCGTAATAAGCAAAGGCTCAACTATAATGTTAGTACAAATATAATGTATTTTAAAACTAATATAGAAGGAAAAAAAACTATGTTTGAAAATAAGAATTAAACATTTACGCTTTAAACGTCGAAAGATATATTTTAAGGCAATTTGATTTATCTCGAAATAATTCCAAATTATTATTCCTTACGAAAGGTACAGTGTGACTTCTTACTTCTGTTGCGGATTAGTCCTTTCAAGCATCACCCGTTGTATAAAAAGTATCCATAAAGGCACTGACGTCGGTTACCATGCGTACGGCGATTTTTCTCCGCCGCTAAAAAGAAAAAAGCAGGTCTCAGTCGTTTTGTTTAGGCACGTTCGGGGATTATTCGTAAACAGATGCCATTCGAAATGACTACACAATTCACAGATAGGAATATATGAATACATGGAATGCGAAATGTTCTCCACCTATGGAATTATCCTCGTTATATATTGCTCTACTAAATAATCTATTTTATTTATATAATAAATTTATATATAATTTAGTTAAAGGGATCTTATTTTGCATAGGTTTATTAAGCAAATGAGTTGCAGAAAATTCTCATTAATTTATACATGCATATGATGATTTATACTTATTTAAATATATTAATGACATACGATATGTGCAACGAAATATGTAATAAATATGTCCTTTCTATGTTAATGAATCTTAGCCAAATATCTTGTTCTTAATAAAAAAAAAAAAAAAAAAAAAAAAAAAAAAAAAAATAACAATTCAGTCTTTTTACTATTGAGAAAATGAGAAAGAAAAACTATGAGATTTGTATTTCGTTAATTTTTTTATAATTAGATATCATAGTAGTTACGTACATCCAATCGTACAAAACAATCTAAGATTTTCACAAATTCAGGGAAAGCTTCTGTGGTCTGAAAGCATTCGTTCATTCAATTATCGAATAGCTTTATACATTTAAAACTTTATATACAGATATCGAGAAACAGTAAAGTCTCGTATGTACTTTCCTTAGTAAATGTTCGCAATACTATATATTAATTCTCAATTATTAATAGTCATTTGAAACAATAGTAACCGACATTTTTTATATTTGCGTTCGTGCGTGCGCACATGGGGCTGGAAGGGTGCGCGCGCGCGCGCGTGTGTGTTTGTGTAGACCATATAAAATACAAGTTTAGTATATTACGTGACCACTTGAGCTGACCAGAGAACATTGTAAATATCCAAATTCATTAAAACAGAAGAGTAGTCACTTGGACCGATAATAAAAATCGAACAGTTTTCCATTTACATTATCCACGTACAATAACACGTTTGCTACATTGGTAAATGCAATATGTTTGCACAACTTTAAACATATTTATAAAATTATTTTAAAAAGTTCAAAAGATTTTGTCGTCTATAAAGATGTGAGATATTTTTGTAATTGTCAATTTATAGATAAATATTTCTTAATTAATAAAATGTATGAAGGATAGATTTAGAAAACAACTGGAATAATTTTTTAAACACATAAAACATTTTTATTTTATTTATAATTATATAATTAACACAACCATTAATTTCTAAAAATTTTTACTAAGTTATTATATTTTTACAGTTTCATTGAAAACATCCCTTTCTAACGTATTGCTTGTATATTATTTTAAAATAATCCATTTCAAACTAATAAATTGTTTAGTTAATTAATTTATTTATAAATGATATATTGGACGTTAAATGGATGTTTATTTATTATATGTAAATGATACGAAATATTTGTTCGAGAGATTTTTTTGTAATTACCTTTAATATGTACCTTAAATTTACACATTGTATTTTTACATAATTTTACACAAATTATTAATTATTGTTTTAAAATAAACTTTAAATATAAAAGAATATAAAACTTGAAGATAATAGAAATTTCTATATTTATTTTTCAAATTTTTAAATAGATATAGTTCATTACTTTACAAGTTTGGTGTTTAAATTTGCTTTTCTATAGTTTTTAACTAAATAAATAATATTATCGAAAAAATTAATTTTTTAAAAGTGCTTTAATAATAATTAAGATTAAAATAAAAACAATACTAATATTTTATACATAATTTTATACGTTAAAATGAAAATTTTATTTCATTAAAGGAAGAGAAAATATTTATTTAAAGTTATTAATTAATAATGTTAGCAATTAGTTGATAGTTGATAAATAATTAAACACGGAAGTGAAGTATGTTTCGAGATGAAGATATGCATAAAAGTATTCAAATTGAGCAAATACTCTTACTAGTCAAAGTAAAATTGACCCGAACAAATCAGATACAGCTGGACTCTTTTAATGCAATGACTAGAGAATAGAAACCAGTAGAGTTAAACTGTCAAATGCAGATACGTGATTTCCCGCTGCTTACGACAATTCAAGTAATGAAATTAAAACAACAATGAATGGGATTAATTCGTATATGTAATTATTCAAAAATAACAATTACATGCTTATTTTCAACTTAAATATCTTCTCATTAAATTCCAATGCTTTTCATATATACATATTTAATAGAATGTTACAAAGGAATTTTGGTTCTTTTTATATATATATATATATATATATATATATATATATATATATATATATATATATATTACTAAATGTCTTAGAACGTGAGTTAAGTGAAAAATCTATTAAATTCTATAAAGTATCTCGATCAAAAAAAAGATGCTCTATAAATACTAGTCTATACATTTACTGTGATTAAAAATGAATTATCTGTAAAAATTTTCCTTTGCAAAGTCGATTGGGAGTAATGTTTTATTAAAAAATGTAACATAAAATTTGACTCGTTTCACATATATAAATAGATGAAAGAATTTTTCTCTAATTTTCTATAATAGTTTAACAATATAATTCGTACAATTTCCTATAATTTGTACTTGATATCTCGAATTATATATTAAGATTAATATGACATGTATTCAATAATAAGACAATAGTATTTATTTATCAACCATTAAACTAGATTTAATTGTATTTAAAATCAATTCCTGTTTTACGATTATTCCACGTATGCGAGTCACTCTTAATTCTACAAAAACATTTTTTCTTTCATTCTTTTGTCATTTACATAAAATGATAAAAATATTAAAGAAAATTATACCAAACGTATTTAATCTTTTAAATATATCATGGATTACAGAAGACTATTAAAGAATGTTAAAATCTAATGCAAATTTTCATAAAAATATGTAAAATAATTTATCAAAATTTTTTTTAATATAACTCTTTAAAAGTAGAATATTAAAAGCAATTAATAAATGTTTAGAAGATGAAGGGGAATGAATATAGCGAAGAGGGGCGGGAAGAAGGGGTGGTTGATACATACTGTTCAAACACGGGGAGAAAGGCTCATGCGCTCTATTTTCTCGGTCTCTCTTTCTCTCTTTCTCTCTTTCTCTCAGCCTCTGTCCCTTTGTCGCGCTCTCTCTCTCTCTCTCTCTCTCTCTCTCTCTCACTCTCACTCACTCACTCACTCTCGCCCGTTCTCTCTCTCTCTCTCTCTCTCTCTCTCTGTCTCTGTCTCTGTCTCTGTCTCTGTTCCGCGGTGTCTCCCTCTTTCTCCTGTTTACTCGAGATCCTCAACCTCAGCGGATCAGCATCAGTTGCATGTGACACACGCTATGGTTTACTCGTTCTCCGTGAGCTTTCAATAGTTTGTAAAATGACTTAAATTCTAATGCTTTTAGTTTACTCATACTTTCATATCGGAAAATATTATGTAAAATTGAAAAAAATGTTTTCTTTTAAACAAGAATAAATTATTTTAAATTTGAACTTATACGTAAAATTGGTGACAATAATATACAGTGCATAGTTTAATCAAAATGTAATCGAGTGATTAATAGATACTTTTAATTACCTAGGGTGTTTATAAAAAACGATGAAACAGAACGTGAAACGTTTACTAAATTATGCGTAATACATTATCATTTCGCGTAAGACCATCATTATTAATTATTTATTTTTACGTATTCTGAGAAAATATGCGGTAATTTCATTACATGAATTATTTTGTAGTATTGAAGTAAACTAAATAGTAATACAGCGATTTATGAAATAAACAACAATCATAAACTTTCCAATGGTAAGAAATTTGTAAAAATATTTTTGTAAAGAATCTTATAATCATATATGCATTTTTATTTATATTTAGAATAATATTTAGAATAATAGATGTGAAAATATTAATAAATTCAAAAGATTCAAATTGCTTATGCATAAAAAATAGTTTTCAAGAGAATGACTCGAATCACGATTGAATAAAAATGCATTATTAATTATTAAATAAAATAAGTAAATAAAATAATATTCTATTTTAACACAAAATTGAATAAATCGTGTGAAAATTCATTAATTTAAATCAGTATAATTTATAAAGATGAAACAAATTTACATCATTTAATGAAATCTAAAATTAATAAATTAATATCCTAATACGTTAAACCACACGAATACTACTGTTTATAATCTGAAAAGTATTTTATTTCAATAACTATTTAATATTTTAATATAAATAAAGTGACAGTTTTCAATATGAATTAATATATTTATATTTCAGTAACTATTTAAAAATACTATTATCTTATACATATTTAACGAAATTAGGAATCTATATTAATTTAATTGTTATTCAAATATCATTAATTAAAAATATTGAAGTACAAATGTAAAATTAATTTAATTTTAAGACATTATCATGTTGAAAAATTTAAATTTATATTGGAAAAACCTCTACATATATTAATAACAAATTAATAATAACAAATTTTTAAGCAAAAATTTTAAAGCAAAATGCTTAAGTGTACGATTTAAAGAATAGCAATAAGTTTTTCAATATTCATAATTCTTGTAATGTACCTGTAAAGATCTAAAATATATGAACTTATTATTACAATGATAAATGTACAAATATATTTTTAATTCTACAATTATATGCATCATATTTCATTAATAAATAAATTACATTATTGTTTTAAGTAATAAATACAAACAACTATTATGTCGATAATTTAATTAAAATTTTGATACGTTAAGTACGTAAGAAAAAGTTCAAGTAATTTAAATAGTTTGTAAATTTTTCAAAAATAACGTGCCAAAAGAAAAGTGTTTCTAGAGAAGTAAAAATAATATACAATTACACTTATATTTTAAATTTTCAAAAAATAAAATTGCCATGAAAAAATAAATGGAATTGCAAAATAGGTGAACCCTTTAACATTAACTAAAATAATATTTTCTACATTACATAGTTTATGCTTAACATTACATTATACCATTTTATTTTGGAAAGTATTTTATATTTAATATAATAAATAAATGATAAAATGTTGAAAAGTTTCAAATACATTTACATTTGATTAGAGAAACATCGTATGTATAGTCAGTTCTATTGGCAGAAAAATTATTTATCACAAAATTTCAACGTAAAAATTCTAAACTTTTTTTTTAATAATAAAATACTTAATTTAATTTAATCCTTAATTATTTTATATGAAATTGCCAATTATTTACAAATTTTCTTGTACATAAACTTAATAGTTAGGAAGAAAAAATTTTGTAGTATCATCGTGTCTTACAACTAGGAATTTACAAACTTACATCTGATTAACAATTTTTGGAAAATATTATATTATTTTAAGAAGTTTCTATGATAATAAATACAAATTGAAGCTTTAACGAGAAAAATGGAAAAATTTACATGTTTGTAATTTAATGGACGTATGAAAATATTCTTCTAGCCTACTAATTTTATTTTCGATAAATAATTTAAAAATAATATTCCAAGCTATGCTATATTTTTTTCTATGAATTCCGGTGCAAGTTTAGACGCATAGTAATATAATAATTAAAATACGTAAATAAAAATTCGTAATTTTATAAGCTACAATTTAAATTAAAAAGATAACCATCTTCTGTCTATGATTTATTGACATAATCGATGTTATATATACGAACACATAAAATCTTATATATTATGTCAATTTGGAAGTCTTCTACAATAATCACTTAAATTATATTCCATAACATGGAGATTAATGAACGTTAACATCATGCTGATATAGCTACTTCAATAACATACAATTATAATGAAATTATAATGTAATATTAAATAAAAAAAAATTTTTCGATCTAAGCTCATTTGAATTTTACACTTTTAAAATATATAATTGTAAATTGTATTAAATCGGTAATTCGATTTATTAATGTTTAAAATCGAAAAGTATTGACTGTGGAAGCCCAAAAATTTTTCTATTTTCAGTTACGCGTAGCAGATATGCAAGAGACATTGCCTGGCCTGTCGGAACAATTTGTCGATAGAGGAGGAAAGATGGATATAATGCAGGAAACGTCAAAGGACTTCGAGAGTATCGCTAAGGATAGACTCAAGTGCGGTTGGTTTTGGTTCCGGCCTTCCTACTTACAGAAATATCGAACAGCTAAATGGGCGCTTTTTTGGCTTTGTTGGGCTGGAGCGATGCAAGGTACAATTACGAATGGATTTTTTCACTTTATGTGTCTTTAATAAATATTTTTCTATAATGAAAAACCAACTTAATTAGTGAATTAAAGATGGTGCTTTATAATATATCAATTATAATAATTATAGATTTAATTCTAGTATTTTTCAATTATCATAATATTAAAAAATAATGATGTATTCTTATAATGAAAAAATTTTTTCGGCTGAAATATAGTTTTTTTTTTTATTTGAATAAATAATTTTTTTAGTAAATTTTTTATTAAAAAGAAGTATGTATATTAGTTGAATACGGCCGTTATAATAATATTAATATTTTTAACATTAGTAATATCGGTATATTAGAATTTAAGAATTTTCAATTATAATTAATTTATTTTATTTTTAAAAATTATTGAAATGTAAATAATTATAATAAATATGTTATATATGTAATATAAATTAAGTATATTATAAAATTTATACATAGAGGAATTTACATTTAGAAGTAAATGTGGATAGAATGGATATAATTATTAAATTTTTAATAAAAAAATTTTCTATTGGCTTTCATTTAGTAAATATTTAGTTTTCTATGATTAAATAAAAGCTACATTACTGATTCTTGTTTTAAGTATTAAAATTGGCTACACCACATTAGCTATTTTTATTATTATTATTATTATTATTGTGAAAATTGTCGTTATAGTAAAACAGTATAACTTGAAGAAAAAATCAAGCGATATAATAGTAGGATGATGAAAGTCATGAGGTAAGATGTTGTTAATGATCGGGATAAAATCGTTATTATAATCAGCCGACAGTCATAATTATTTTACTTCACAGCTCGAATAGAAAATCTAGTATTTATTAATAACATTTATTAATAATTAAGAGACTATGCATTGAAAAACAATTTCCTTATTTTCAAAACTGATAGCTCGTAATAAATGAGAATAGAATTTTCGGCCTAGAAATGTGACACATTTATGTAAGCAGAGGAAAATAAGCAGGTTTAAGGCTAGTCGAATATGAAGAATGAGAGAAGGGTTGTTGACATCGACAAAATTTAGGGAGAAAAAGAAAGAGAGAGAGAGAGAGAGAGAGAGAGAGAGAGAATATACCGACCGTGAAAATGAAATACCAGATTTGAAATCGTTAGGAAAGGAAAGGTGAAGTGAAAAGCTTATTTGTTTATGTCAACGAATACCATAAAGGGATTAAGATGCACGACGGTTCCATTAAACTCCACCTTTGAAATTCTTTTGATTTTAGAATGCCTGATCTTATCGACATTATAAGACTCTCTTTCGATGAGAAATTTAACCTTGTAGAAAATATGCTACAAGCACAATCTATCTATAATGATATTTTTATTATATTTACAAAATTCGGTACAATGCAATCTCTTTTTTTATTTTATTTTTATATATTTCCATATTATTGTTAATATAATAAGATTAAATAAATTTTAAAGTAACATTTTATCATTATTTTTTTTCGACTGTTTTTCCGACTGTTTTTTATTAATTTTAATAATTTTATTTTAGCATTTTTTAAAATTATTTAATCAATTACAATAATAAGTGAAAATTTTCAATCTTTATATGACTTTAAATATTAAAGAAAAATATATATGTAAATAATTACAATCGAAAAAGTGAATATTATTTTTATTATAATTATTACATTTAAAATTATAATATTACAAAAATTATATAAATCAGGTTGGAAATTTGGAAATAAAAACGTAATCATATATAAAATTCGTATTCAAATTGTTCGGTTTTGTCACAAAAAAATCTTTACTATAGGCAGTAAGCCTAATCGTAATTAAAATTTTTTTAAATTATTTGTTAACAATACATTTTCTACTTTTTATTGATACTGTTGAACAAATAAATGCAAAAAAAAGAATAAAAAGAACCTAAAAATGGAATTGATAAAATATAAAGAAGTGAGAATGGATATAAAAAAGTATATATAAAAAGAGAGAAGAAAACAGTATGAGATACGAGATATGTAAAAAAAAAGTCAACTTTCTTAACTTCGATTGCAAATTAGTCGTATAAAAAACGATAATGTTATTAAAATATTACTGGTACAACTATTTCCAACTAATATATTTAATTTCATTTCATTTTATTTAATGCATAACCAACATAAAATTAAAAAAAATATTTTAATTCGTTAATTGTTAATCAAAGAGCAATCGACTAATATTATATATGAAAATGTTTATTTATCTGGTGAAAATTCACAAATAATATATTACCATTATGAAAAAGGCCTTTTAAATATATACATATACATATACATATATATATATATATATATATATATATATATATATATATATATATTATATAATAACTATATATATATATATATATATATATATAGTTTGAAATATACTAATATTACTTTTTAAATGGTATAAAAATAATAACAAATATCTAAATGTAAAATCGATAGCTTCTTATGGTAAATATTAAAAAAATGATCTATTTCTGTATTCGATTCAACTTATTGGAAACTCAGAACCTATTTAGTATGAGATTTAAAAATAAAGGAAGAGAACATATTAAAAAAAAAAAAAAACATTATTTTTTAAAATTACAGTTAATTGTAATTTTCACTGAGTATCTTATCGATGACTGCAATCTATGTTTTAATTTGAAAATTCTATAAAATTCAAGATATTTGCATTATTTTAACAATAATAATAATAAGTGAATCTATGAAGCCATAAAAATTCTAATTCTAAAATTCTAAACATTCTATAATGTCTAAAAATCTAATTCTAAATCTAAAATATTCTAAAATTACGTACAGATAGACGATGATATATCACTGAATAAAATGAAGTTAATTATACTAAATATTTTGTGCTTTTTTTCTCTTTACATATTGAGATTTTCATGATAAAATGGATTACTATTCTAGTTTTTTAATATTTTATTATTAAAGTAATCGATTATAAGTAATCGATTAATTCATTTATTTGTATAATTCTCAATGTATTATACATCGCCCCACACACATAGACCCATAAAAACTCTATATTTTAATATAAAAATAAAAAAATTTCAGTACTGCTTTTTTTACTTTTCATGTGCGTGTATATCCCAACAAAGAAATTGTTATGATAGATGAAGAAGCTTCGATAAAGTAACTGTTATGATAAATGTTCTTTTGATAAAGTCGACAAGACAATTTTAAAATAAAATTTAAGCTAATTGAATGATTTATTATTGAAATCTCAATAATATGTTCACTTTTTAAATATATTGAAATATAACATTTATTATTGTATTATGACAATATAATGCTTATGATAATATAATATTTTATAAATATAATTTTATTTTCTAAAGATTTATGAATATTATTTTAAATATTTTCATTTCTATTTTTAGACACATTGAATAACATAAAATTCTTTTAATTACATTACACAAACTGCAAATGTCTTAGAAACGAATAATTATAAGTTGTTAAATATTTGAGATCAAATAAAGTATTTTAAATTATTTTAGGAATGGTCGTAAACGGATTTATTAATGTTGTTATAACAACGATAGAAAAGAGATTCGGATTTCGTTCATCACAGACAGGTCTTATCGCTGGAGGATATGACATTGCGAGCTTCTTCCTGCTAATTCCGGTTAGCTATTTGGGTGGTCGCTCCAACTCCAGTAAACCCAGGTTTGTATTCTCAATAATAGGTAATTTAACTTTTCCTTTCAGTGGCTTCTATGCTTTCTCTTTTTAGGAAAGTGCTCAGAAAGCTTTTTTGACCGAAAATTGTAAAACTAACGTTGACTTTAATAAATTAAAGGTACATTGGTATTGGCGTACTAGTATTGGGCCTGGGTAGTCTTCTGTTCGCTTTACCACACTACTTAGTCAGTCCTTACAGAGGAAGTAATCAAGTAGAAAATACGTGCAGAATATCATCGAATTCCTCGTCAATACGTTCAGTAAGCAATGTACTACTTTTTTTTCGTGGCAATTACATCAACACAATATTAATTTTTTCAATATTTTACAACCGGAATGAAGAAATTCTATTTATTTGCCTAGATAATTAGATATTTAAGGAATAATTTTATAAGGATATATACAGATTATTATTGCATGATATAGATAAAGCAATTTTTTATGTGATACAAATAAAATATATTCCATGGCAATTTGCGTTTATTCGAAGGTATAAAAGTATATGCTTAATACTTATTCAATTTGAATTTCTTAAACTTATATTACTTATTATTTTTTAATTGTATCTAACTTCATTTCATTTTACATACCACGAGCATTCTCTTGGCTTGTAAATTATTTTACAAATATTTATATATATATATATATATATATATATATAAACATATTAAAATGTAATGAAATAATAAAAGTATTAAAAAATAATTTTTACGTTTTAAAGTATTTGATAAAATTAATAAATAGATAAATTTTCATATAGCTCGAGTCGAATAAAAATATTTAATCTAAGTACAAATATGAAACATCAAGAATACAAATTTTATAATATCTAATAAATACAATGGAAAGAAAAATACTTCTCATTTGTTCTTAATGTTTTTTAACGTAAAAAACTTGATAACGGCAATTACATTATATTATTGTAAATAAATATATAATTATTCATAATAATTCATAATATATGAAATAATGTCTCATTTTTCTTAAAGCTTTGTTCATTTTGTTTGTAAAAAATTGCTTCGTAAATATATGTTTATTCAGTGTGTGATACATAAAAGATGAATCGGATTACTAAGAATATCCACTTATATTCACGACAATTCTAATATTTTGAAAACTAAAATAAATTTTGAATTAAACAATAATTATATAATAATAATACGAAGAAAATAGAAAATTTTAAGAAAAATTATGTTTCCTACACCGACAATTATTATCGCTATTTTTAATTACAGATGATTAAATGTATTAAATTGTGTACATTTTCAAATTTTATATAATCTATATCACATTACGTAGCAGAAAATTAAAAGTACTTCATATAATTCTTTGTATAATATGTACCTTAAATATTAAAAGGAACTTTACATATTAAAAGGAATAAATTAATTTACACAGGTTATAAGCTCAGCTCAATTATACCGCAATACGAATGAAAACGAAAATATGAAATGACGCAATACGTTCGTATTATAAAAGTAATAAAAAACTTTCTTTTGTTTTTCTGTAGCTTAGTATAAAAATCAGTTGGCAAAAAAATCAGTGATACTCTATAGGATATTAATTAAAAATATTCCTCTCGTTCCGTCTAATATAAATAAAGGCCTTACCAAGTTGCTAGTACATTTGTTTACTCAAACTATTTTGTCATAACTTTGCAGGCGTCGTGTTCTAGTATGGAGCAGACGGAGCTGGAGCCACATGGTGGTATATACCTAATGATGTTCCTCGTAGCCCAGCTTCTGCACGGTGCAGGTGCCGCGCCATTCTATACACTCGGTGTCACTTATCTCGATGAGAATGTTTCCAAGAAAATGTCTTCTGTCTATTTGGGTAAAAATATTTTTCTACTCCAGCTTCTTAGTCTTTATTTAAAATTTCTTTTTAATCTATTTGATGATCTTTTAAATTATCCCCGGTCATTGATCTACTGATTTCGAACACGCGCATTTATGATATCTCGCATTCAATCACTGATATCATGGTGTTTCTAACATTAGGATTTCTTAACACTAGTTTATTAAGATAATCTATACATATTTTCAACTCATCCAAATACTAAGTATGTGTATGTCCATGCACACCGAAGACTTACTTACCTATACAATACATCTCGAATAATAAGATATTAATTTACATAAATTAAGCCAACTTTATACATTGTACAGTTGCATAATTTTTCATATAAATTTGATGAATTGTTCAAAGATTCTCTTCAAACGATTATTACAAACAATTACTGGATATCGCCTTCTAATACAATCACGTAATGCAACAAAAATTAAACAAATTGAAATAATAAAGCCACATACAAAGTAGTGTTTAAAAAGATTATTCTAATTGACAGGCGTTTACTATACAATGGCGGTAATTGGACCTGCTTGCGGCTATGTCATAGGAGGCGAACTGCTTAAGTTATATACGGACTTCCTAAGCGTCGATCCAGGGTCGTGAGTAAACTAATTTAGATTTACATGTGTGCATACTTACATTTGTCAACTCCGCCTCAAATGCATATACATACTTGCTCTTATAAGATTTTGTAAAATCTTATAAAGCGCCTAAAATAAACGCGATTGAGTAATTATAGACTTGTTCACATTATTATTAAGATTATTCAAATCTTGACGTTTTACATTCGTCTAATTATTTAAATTTAACAAATCCGTCCAAATTCATTTATCTAACAATTAAATCTAAATAAAACTAATATAATATAATAAATAAATACAAACATTTACAATATATTTATGTTAATCATAATGTATAACTTTAATTAAAGTGCAAAAAGTTTTATTTACTCGAATGAATTATGAAATTAAAAAGTTTATATGTACATCGTTAGGATCGCAAACAAAAAAAAAACAAAAACAAAAACAAAAAAAAAAACAAAAACAAAAAAACAAAAACAAAAAAACAAAAAACAAAAAAACAAAAAACAAAAAATAATAAATGGCTTTGTGTGTATGATAATTTTTATTTAGCCTCGAGCAAGTGATAACAATTGTATTCGTAAACAAAAAAACCCAAGTAAAATTCATAATTTCTTTTCACTAATACTACCATCTATAATCCTATAATAAATCTTCTTATGAAAATTAAAAAAGTAAATGTTTTGCTTTACCCTTTCATGATCCCCTCGTCATAAATTCGCCCTGTTATTATTTCCCTTGCTCGTCGACACGGGCGTATAGTAATATTTATAATTTCTCACAATTAAATTTTTATGCTAAAGAGTAAATCAATCGTAACGAAAAATATAACTTTCTATTAGTACTTGTCAATATTATAAACATGTAAACAAAATTTCATGTTCGTTAATCATTCTTTGACATTATACATAAATTTCTATCAATATAGCGATATTTATGCAAATATTTATGTATTCATTTTATTGTCCCAATAATCCAAAATAATTTTAAATTACTTTAAAATTTTTTATATTCTCATTATATAAAATCGCACGGCTCTTTTATAATATATCAGAATTCGATATATAAAAGACTATAATGGTTATGAAAGCAAGAAAAAAAAGAAGATATAAATCATTTAGAGGCCAAAAAAAAAAAGAAGAAAAAAAATAGAATCTAATAAAAAACATGACATAAATATAATGAGGGCAAAAGTTATTGCATGTGCTGTCACAAACGTTATATATACCCACATTTGTGTACATAATAGATCGAGATTTATATTGCACACAACCCCATAAATTGATTGACTCTCCCTTGGGAAAATATTTCAAGCAATAAACTTATGTTTGGTGCTAATTTAGTTAAGATCTCTTTTTACCGATTTTCTTTCTAATTTTTAACTATAAAATAATTAAAATTACATTGGAATATTTTTTCGTTAATTATCAAATATTTTTTATTATATTGAAGCTTAAGATTTAATTGAAAATCTACATCCTTTTACTCTTAAGAATTAAACGATAATATAATATAATTAAGCGTAAAATGTGTTAGCGTTACTTTATAAATTTTTAATTAAATTATAAAAAAATTTGTTTAAATAAAGAAATATAAAATATTTAAATAGATAAATTATTGATATATCAATATATTAGACTTTTTATATCTGATAATTTACAACTGATTTAGTTGAGATTATTCTTATATGAAATCACTTATATCAAAAGAGATAACTAAAATAATATACATAAAGCTCGTTCGTCGTAAACATTTAAATTTGTATGAATATAAACTAACTTAATATAATAATACAAAAATTGATGAAAATGAAACTTTATTTAATTATAGTATACATTTTTTTAAAATTATTTTATATATAAAATATATTATAATAGTCAATAGTGTAATAATGTAACTTTTTAATGATAATACTTATTAATGTTAATATATTGATAATTAATATAAAAAGTATTTAGCGACTTAGTAAATTATATTAATAATGGCAATAATGAAGCATTTGAGTAATTACCTTATTAAACCTTCGTTATTTTTATTTGGATAAATTTGAATAAAACTTAATAAATTGAATTTATAAATTAAATTGACATTCAGCAGAAAAGAATGTACAATTTATACATAGGATAAGAGTATTTTATTGGAGAACATAATAGAATAATAAATTATAATTTGTTGATAAACAATTTTTTAACAAAGAAGGTCGATATCTTATTAATGAGTCATATTCATTTAATTTATAGTTTTTATAAATTTAAATAAACCATTATAACTTGGACTTTTAAAAGCTTAACTTTATTTATCGTGTATAATCAATGTATATTATAAATTGAAAAAAATGATCAATTTTATATGAGAAATGTTGTCTGGATTCATTGAATGAAATATCATTTTAATTTCCGCTCTTATAAATAAAATTTTTATTCACTATTTAGTAGTATTTTAAAAAATATCCAGGAATCTCTGCTTAAGCGTTAAAAAAATATCTGCTTTTTTTTTAATTTAGATTTTCACTAACGTATACGCGCTCAGGCTATAGAATTGTTTAAATAAGCTTTATTTTCATAGGTTTCTTAACAATTGTAAAGCTAAATTCGATTGTCAAATTAACATATCATAAAGTTCCTTATTCCAATAAATATACTGTGCTTAAAGTGTGAAAAATAATGATTAAATATGTTTGGTTTGGCGATCCAGTCCCAAATTATGAATCATGCGTTAAGCAGAACACTTCATCAGATATAAAATCCTCCTCCTTTTATGACTTAATAAAAATTAACTACATATTTTCTATTATACTATCATTATTTTAATAGTTACAATTATAAATATATCCAATATGTTTATGGAAGGAGTCAATGTCAGCCATTATGTTAAGTACAATTACAATGAATTATTTAAAAATATATTTCGTTTGTAAAATAAATTTTTTTTTCTCTTAAATAAGAACTGAAAAACGACTTCTTTATTAGGAATTATTTATACTTTTGAAAATCTAATACGCAATGGGCTTAAATTACAGAATTGGATTAACACCTGACAGTAACGTATGGATAGGAGCTTGGTGGGTCGGTTTTCTTGCAGCTACTGTAATTTGCTTTGTAATTGCATTACCACTTTTAGCCTTCCCGGCAATTTTACCAGGTGAATATCTAATATTAATCTAAAAAATTCACGTCTTATAAAAGATAAAATGTTTGCAGACTCTAAGAGATGTTATTTATATTTGTGTGAAATGGAAACAAATTTTATTTTTTAAAATATGTATAAAACCGCATTGCTTTAAGTATTACTTATTATAATTTTTCTGTCACACAAAAACGGAAAAAGATACGATAAGAATTATTATATTTCAAAACATTTTATTTATTTATTAAGTTTTTTTTTTTTTTTTTTTTTTTTTTTTTAACGAAACTAGTACATTAATGAGATTATTCAAATTCAATGTTATTTCATATATATATATATATATATATATATATATATATATATATGTATCAGAATTTTTGTACTACATTAATGCATTTAAGAACCATTACATGCTTAATTAGATTTTCATACATATATATAAAAAAAGTTTTCGTCACTCATCGCCTCATTTTATTAAAATATTTAGTAATTATTTTTAATTTAACATTTTTGACTTTAATCTAACCCTGTTTTCGACATGAAATAATACATACAAAATAAAAAAATGTTTTTTTTTACCATAAGTACGTTGCCAAATGAAATAACTCAACATTAAATATTATTTATATATAAAAATACACTTAAATATATATATATATATATATATATATATATATATATATTGTGAATTTTATTAAATTTTAAAATTATATATGCAATTAAAAAGTATACAAAATTATAAACTGTATAGAATGAAAACGTATATGAAATAATAGAAATATAGAAATATATTAATATAAATAATGTGTACGAATAATCAGAAAGCATAAAAAATTCACTGGTGAAAAATAATTATTAATTTATTAAGGAATATATTAAAAACAAAACTTATATAAATAATATGTAAAAAGAATAAAAATAAATTATCAAATTAATTATTAAAATTTATTGAAATTTGAATGAAAAATTATTATTCTTTATTAACTTAATTTGAAAGTATGATAATTCATGCACCATATTACAGTAAAATGTCTATTAAATCCATTATTACAATTATTTAAAAATTTTAAATAAATATTATTTAATGATTCTTTAAATATCCAATATTATTATACACTAATTAGTAATTGCGTTTAATGTGTATTTAATTGTCAATGTTTAATCAACGATAATACAATTTCATTTAACAGGATCAGAAGAACTAGCAAAGGAAAAAGTATCGGAAGCTCATGAAAAACCAACAGCATCGTCGAGTGATAGAGCTGGTGAAGCTTTTTCAAAAATTCGTGAACTTCCAAGAGCACTAACGGAATTACTTGGTAATCCAGCTTTTTTCATGTTGAATCTCGCTGGCGCCAGCGAAGGATTACTAATAGCTGGTTTCGCAGCTTTTCTTCCAAAATTAATAGAGAATCAATTTAGCGTCAACGCCAGCTTAGCAGCTCTGCTTATGGGTAAGATACTCGTGAACATTTTTAATGACTGCTTCCGTTAATTAGCGTAAAATAAATATATTTAAATGAAAATAAAGTAATGTCATAAGTATTTTTTATCATATAGATATTTATCTCATTTAGTTTAAAAATGAAATTCTTAAACCATAAAATTTCATTACACACAAAAGATATACATTTGTAGTTCTATATTAATAAACGTTGTAAGCTCTCTTATACAACAACAATTTTACTTTGAATATTTTAGGTTTGGTGACTGTACCCGCTGGTGGTGGAGGAACATTTCTTGGAGGGTATTTGATCAAACACTGGAATTTACCATGTTCAGGAATTCTTAAATTTTGTATTATTGCCACTGCCACATGCATCGCATTCACTTTCTGTTTTATATTAAGCTGTCCTAATTTAGACTTTGCTGGACTTACAATATCCTATTTTAACGAAAATAAGTAAGTAATCTTGTTTTTTTTTCCATAACATTATATCTAGATTATAAAAATTAAATTAACTATAATTTGTAATCTTTATCAACAAAATCATATATTGTTACAAAATTATATATATATACATATGCAATAGAACATGTTGATGCTTAATTTATCAATTAAAATTTCAATTTAAATAGTTCAAATACTGTTTATTTACAAATAAATGAATTTTAAATTAGATTGATAAAAAAACATTGCTTTAAGTTTATTAATATAAAAGAATATATATATATATATATATATATATATATATATATATAAATTTTGTTCTAATTACCAACAATCATAATACAAACATTTTATTTTTTGAAAAATTACTATGTATCTTTAAAGTTTTTAGTCTCTCAGTTTTATAAAAATTATTTACTTCTTATTCGCTATTACCAAATTGTATTGTAAAATTTTATTAAAGGCATTTAAATCCATAGGATCGAATTATTATAATTAATTAATGAAATAAATTATTCATAGAAAATCGTTAAGTTTGGACGGCGTGTGTAATACGGGGTGCGGATGTTCCACTTCAAACTTCAATCCCATTTGTGGTGTTGACGCAATAACTTATTATTCGCCTTGCCATGCAGGATGTTTTCAAGAAATATCTCTACCTGATTTGAAAGTACGTAAACTAAAAATATTAAACACTTCAAAAAATATATAAAAATTTTCTTTTATGTGTAGATAATTAAAAAGAAATAAAAATCTCTACTTAATACAGCTGTGTAAAAAGTTTCATATATACATTTTATAGGACTAATTATATTAGCTGGAAATTTTCAAAAAAATACCATATTTTTAATATTTTATAATCCAGATCTAACATAAAGGCGGATTTATCCCTTTATCAAATTTCGTTTAAATTTCTTAGTCTAATTATTATAAGAGATTGCGTAATTATGCAGAGTAATAGTGAAATTTAAAACTACTAGGTTTACACTAACTGCAGTTGTATTGATGCGACGGCATTGAATATGTCCATTGGCACTAATGGCAATGACTTTATCTCTTACGAAGCCACAAATATGACATGTGCAAGCAAGTGCAATTACTTATGGCTTTTCATCGGTCTTGCTTTCTGCAATATGTTGATGACATTTCTCTGCACGATGCCAGCACTTTCATCGACTTTGCGAGTTGTTCGCGATGATCAACGATCGTTTGCTCTAGGTATTCAGTGGATCAAAGTACGCATCCTAGGAACCATACCAGCTCCAATTATTTTCGGTACACTTATCGACGAAACATGCATTCTCTGGCATAAGACTTGTGACGAACAAGGTGCCTGTCTTGTATACGACAATTACTACATGAGCAGGTAAATCTTTCTTGCGTAATTCCTAACTGTACGTCAAATCAAACTGAACGTCACTATGGATTTATAAATTTTATCACTTAAATGAAATCTGTAAATGATAATGTCTTGGCACTGTTCAAAATTATGACACAACGTAATATGTCAAAATTACGCATATATATATATGTAATTTTTATAATGATGTATATGATTCAATTTATTATTTTTATTGTGTAGATACATGTTCGCATTAGCATTTATCGGAAAAGCCGCATCTCTATTATTTTTCTTTCTGGCTTGGTGGTTTTACGTTCCTCCGGGAAGCCGAAAGATAAATCCCGAGCCTCGACCAGAGCCTGTTACAACGCTTATGTCTGCAGCAATGTAGCAACATACACATCAGCCCAATATTTCCAACGCATAAATTAATTTTCTTTACTGAGTCTTACACATTTTTGTATTTACAACACGGCACTTACTTATAAAAGAATTAATTATTCCAAATCTACAATACTGGCAAATTTTCATATATGAATAGAAATATAAGTACTCAATATCAGTTAATTTAATTATATTTCTTATAATGAGTTATAAATATTAAGAACTGCATTATTATATGTGTATGCACTGTATCTATAAGCACGCGAGTCTAGGGAAATTTATTCGTCCACGTGCATATATGTATGCATGAGTGCATGATGAATCTACGTATGCCTGTATGAATATAAGCATGCATGTATGTATATATACATTTATAATTGAATAATTATGTGAGTACGATACTTGACTGCAATTCTCAATGTTTTTATTCGATATCAGTGTTATATTCTCGGTTAAATGCAATCTTGAAAACATTTGTTAAAAATAAAAAGAAATTGGACGTATATATTTAAGTCATGATTATCACTTAAACTATTTTTTAAAGATAAAACTATTTCACTTATATAATAAGCTCATAATAATACTTCTATGTTCGAATAAATCTATAAATTCGCATAAATACAAAATGTTCTTGATTTGAAAATTATCAATAATAATATTTTCAATAATTTGTAAAGATAGAACCAATATCTTTATAATAGATATTATTATTAGTCGATTACGAACTGACGTAGATTAATTAGAATTATTAGCTTGTAAATACCTTTGCAGTAAATTATGTATAATTTAATTATTTATATTAAATACATGTAACGTCTAGCATTAGGCATTATATAGATAATCCTCATAAATTTCCATATTAATAACATTGATTAATATTAATTGTAGAAGGTGAATTCTTATCAATGCATTAAGAATTTTCATTAATAGCAGTTTTATGCTCTTCTATTAAACTCTTATAACCTTAAATTGTAGATTTTTTATTCAACGTGTATTTTAAAAATAATTGAAAAATAAGTAATGAATAATAAAGGGGAGAATGAAATTGACTATCGTTATCTACATCAATTATGTAGCAAAAATTATAAAAAAAAAAAAAAAAAAAAAAAAAAAAAAAAAAAAACCCCTATTATATCACTACTTAATCATACCATAGATTATTTATTTGATATTTCTTTTAAATCGTCTTAAGTAAATGTTTTCTTTATCCTATTAAAGTACTTGTTAAAATAAAGAAACTGGTATTAAATAAATTAATAGAAAATCCAATAAAATAAACATACGAAGCAGAAAATACTATATAATTAAAGATTAATTATGAACATCATATTTGACATTGATGAAGTTATTCTTAATGCATGATTAAATAATATCATTATATATTGAGAATTCTTTAATTTAATTAAAATAATAGAATAATTTATAAATCATCATAATCACAATATCACCACACCATAAAATTAGTATTTTTAGCATGTTTACTTTGACTTGAATGAAAAAAGAATGTTATAAATCTTAAAATATCTTACATCAGTTCTAATTCAATTTTTATAAAATTTTATAACGGTGTACTCAATAAGTTATTTAAAATTGTATTAATATAAAAATATTTTATTATATTAGATATCTAAATATTTGCATTTATTCGTTGTACTTTATAAGAATGATTGAATATTATCGCCCGTGGTACTGTAAAGTACCCTATATGTACTTCGCTTAATAATCGATTCGATAGAAAAGAACATCAAAACTTTTATACGTAACTTTTTATTGGGAATATGTATTTTTTGTAAATATGTATTACGTATCGCAATGATTGCATCAAATAATTTTTGTTTGTTTTAATATATCATAATATTGTTAGCGATTCAATTTTGTAAGCATTTTTTAATATATTTTTTACCGTTTCAAATTTTTTAACGAAATTGTGAAATGTAATTTTATATTTATAGTAAAGTGTAAATCATTTTTATAGAAATAAATAAATCAAGTACATAATACAAGTAATACAATATATTAATTATTTTAGATGTATGGAATTTTCAATCTGAATTTTATAAAACCACTTTTATTATATAGTGGTTTATTATAAGATTAAAGTACATCAGAATAGTATAAATTAAATTTTCGTAATAAATGAATGTAAAAGCGTGACGTATGATTAATTTAAACAAAAGTAAGTATATCGATGAAATAATTTTGAACATCATTATTATACTTATCGTTGCACAACGAATAAATCTCCACTCTTTGATTAACACTGGATATCTTTCTTTGATCTCTCTATCACTAATTTATCTTATTTTGAATATTTTGAATATTATCATTTGATTTTCTATTATAATATTATTTGAAAACGTTCTCTTTATATTGTTAAAAATTTCAGATGACGATGAAATGATAATTTAACTTATCAAAATATCATTGAATAACATTTATTAGATATTTATTTCATTTTATAAATAGAATTTATAATTTTTTATTTTAACGAATAAATAGATTCCTCAAGTGCATTGTAGATCACTGCCGTATCGACGGATATCAATTCAAGAATAGTGCTGCTATCTATCGGGTGTCTGTGACCATAAATAATTAAAATATATAGAAGGGTTAAAAGAGAATCGATTGCGTATTCTAGAATAGGTACTCAATATTTTTGATTTTCATATTTATATAAAAAATTCTTTTTACTTTCTTCAAAAATTCCTTAGGAAATGAACAATTTCTAAATTATTCGTAATAATTGTCATTATATTTATATTAGTAAATTATATTAGTATTAGTAAATTATATTTATATATTATAGTTTAATATTATTCATTTTATAATTGTTAACTATGCATTCGAACAATAAAGAGAAATATTAAAAGGACTTTTTTAAGTTTCAAAAATGTATCTAGTAAAAAAATGTAGAAATTTGTTAATAATTGTTAATAATTAATGTAATCATTTTTCTTTGTAATTTTTATAATGTATTTATCTAACTTAAATTAATCAAAGGCTTCAAGTGATTTTATAAAACTGATCTTATAAACTAAATAGTTTCTTATTATGCAAAATTGATACCTAATATTTAATATCTCTAAAATGCTGAGAAAACATGAAAGAAATCTACAATTATCTACAAAATTATAAAAATTTATTTAATAAAAACTTCGATTCGATTAAATATTTTGTTGTATAAGTTGATATAACCTAAGAATGTCGCTTAAATATTTAATCAAATACAAGCATTAAATAACTTTTTGACAGTTAGAAATATTATGCAAAGCAATTTGTATGGCCTCTTGGTCTAGGGGTATGATTCCTGCTTTGGGTGCAGGAGGTCCCGGGTTCAAATCCCGGAGGGGCCCTTTTTTTCATGTTTTTTTTTTTTTATTACTTTACCATATTAATAATAATAAAATGTTATTGTATTTATATTCGCACGCCATTGAGTAATTTATTTACAAAAACTAATAGTAATTAAAAGAATATCAGAAATGTAAACATGCGCTACCACAGTAATTATATTTTATATTTTCAAATTTTATTTCATTCTTAGTATAGTATTTGAAAAGAAAAAAAAAAGATTATTCATAAAAATCCACAATAATGTATGAGGTTTTTTTTTGTTAATTAAATTTCAAGAATTTCTAAATGCAATACGTAGTATGCAATATTGAATAGAGAAAACAAAGAATTGAGGAATTCAAAATTTTTTTTAACATAACAATTTTCAAATTCTTGGAAAATATACGAAGGGTGATGATTGTCGCGCAACTAAAAAAGTAATAGTAAAATAGATTAATTTATTTAAGACAGATGATATCATAATAAATTAAAATATTTATTTTATATTTTGAAGGTTAAAAATTATATTATAGATCAATCTTAGGGAAATTTATTAAATAAATCTGTACGTATTATGTTTAGTATAATAATAAATGCAAATGAAACTTACCGATACTTAATAAACAAAAAATATATTTAGATTTTCAACAATGCGTCGTAAACATGTATTTTATGGTTTAATTATTTATCAAATAAATCCGAATTAATATTCCATGAGGTGACTTAATTCAGTACCCTTAAAAATCATCATTATCAATTGAATGTTTCTTGCGATATAATATTGAAACATATGGAATCACTTGGAATTCACGCTAATCACGGCTTTCTAGCATTATTAATTCTTATTATTATAATATAAAGGAAAGTGATTATAATTTTGTAATATCTTTTATTTTATCATAAATGTTTAATTTACATTAAGAATCGCAATTATTGTCTTAATATTAATTTTATTTAAAAATTATTTTTTATCATTATTATGCATTTAAAACATTAGGTATGTTGATAATATGTTAAAATATATTTGTAATCTGAAATTATCAGAACATCGACATTATTATATATATATATATATATATATACACACATCTTATTAATATAATTTTATTATTTTATATAATTTTTATAATATAATTTTATATAATTGTACACCATAATGATTAAAATTAAGGTGCAAGTAATAAAACTTTCTCTAAAATTATTGTACATGTACAATTTTTAATAAAATTCGTTTTCAAGTAGTGCTTAAACTATTTTTCGTTCAATGTAAAGACTATGCTATACTCACCTTTTATTTTTATATATTAGTAAAACGATTTGTACAAAAAGTAAATCGAGTACAAACTTTGAAATATTTTTTTACTATAACAAAGCGTCAATTGTTGCCGAATACACTTAAATTTTAACTTTATATTTTTCGTCTCTTCGCTTCACTAAAGACATTCGAGAAACATCTCAATCTTCTAGTGTCTATTTGTATAGTTTCATGGTTTACTTTTAAACCTGTTAAAATGAAAATAAACTCCTCTAAAAACTTGATAATTTTATAAATGTAAGCAGGGCCATAAAAAATATTCAACACATGGATTTTATTTCGTTAAGGTTTTGTAAAAAAAAAAAGGAATTTACATGCATGCGGACAGACATCATCTATTATATATAAAATTTTATATAAAAATATTTATCAAATTTCCTTTTTTTACTCTTGTATTTATTTAATATCTATAATATATCAATTTGATATATATCATTAT